GGAGGAGGAGGAGGGGGCAGGAGGCAGAAGGAGGAGGGAGGAGGGAGGAGGGAGGAGGGAGATGGGAGGAGGGAGGAGGGAGGAGGAGGGAGGAGGAAGGGGAGGGGGAGGAGGAGGAGGAGGAGGAGGAGGAGGAGGAGGAGGAGGAGGAGGAGGAGGAGGAGGAGGAGGAGGAGGAGGAGGAGGAGGAGGAGGGAGGAGGGTGGAGGGAGGAGGGAGGAGGGAGGAGGGAGGAGGGAGGAGGGAGGAGGAGGAGGAGGAGGAGGAGGAGGGGAATATTGACACAGACACAGAGACACGTCGATCTGCTGGGAGAGTGTGGGAAGAGGTGGGAAGTGGAGGGGAAGACGAACATCCAGGAACTAGGGGATGATAACGGGAATCGTGGAATCTGTGTTTACGTAATTTGTGTCTTGCTGGGACCCTTTATTGTAGTGGCCTCCGGCCAGCGCCGCCGATCCCGGACGCTTCCGTTGCTGCCGGAAACGCACGATGGCGGTCATGACCGGCGACGACGGCGAGCGGTGAGGATGATGATGAGGGTGGGGAATGGGGGGCAACGGGGTAGGAATCATGGAAATCTGTGTTTACTCAATCTGTGTCTTGCTGGGCCCCTTTATATCTTGGGGCTCCCCCGTGGGGCTCCGCGTGCCGCGCCTCGGGGGGCGCGGAGCTCCGCTCAGACCGCACTGGCAGCCCCGAGACCGCTCCGCCGTGGCTAGCGTGCCTCGAGAGGAGCTCGCTCTCGGCGGCGAGCGGTGGGGGGGATTTCGAGGTTCGAACTTCGAGGTTCTAGGTGTTCGGGCGTTTTCGTCGTTCCTTGGCGGTTTTCCGCGCCCGGGCTGCGTTTCAGCGGCTGCGCCTCGCCGAGTGCGTTCCGGGGATGCCCAGATCGTCCCGAACAGCAGCTGGAGACCCGAGTTTTGACCCGAAAATTGAACTCGGCGGCGAGCGGGGGGGGTGGAGGTGAGAAAGAGAAGACCTTTTCAGAAGGCGTCGGGACTTCTCAGAGGCCTTCGCGCCTTCAGAAAAGTTTTTTTGCGTGTCTTCGAAGAAGGCTCAGAAAACTTCTCAGAAGTCTGGGGGGCTTCCGAGCCTTCTCGGAAGGCCCGCCCCTTCTCACTTCTCCCCCGCGCTCGCCGCCAATGATCTTGGAGCCCCTGGGGGTCTGAGGTGGCCCAGCATTGGTTCCAGCCAACAGGAAGGAGGGTCTGCTGGCTTGAGGCTCCTGGAGTTGTTTGCTTCCGCTCTTGACTTTTTCGGCCTCCGTGGGCATTTTTTTTTCGGCCTGGGGCGAGCAATTGCGCCAGGTGGAGCCCAGGAGGGGTCTGGGATCCGATTTTGAGCGGATCTTGAGTGTGAAACCCTTGTGCGCATGTCATCTCTCTGCATGGTGTACTCTGGATTTCCACCAAGAGCTGCCAATCGTGCACTCTTCTGCCCACGCGTCCTTCTGGATGCTCGGCTCAGCAAGCCCCCCCTGCCGTTCAGACCCCCCGGCCGCCTTCAAGCTTGCTCCAAAGCAGCATTTGTTCAGCCAAATGACTTGATCTCTAGCTTTAAGTCGGGCCTGTCCCCCTACAGGGGGATTTTGAACGACAAATAAAATAATACCCCAAAACTGCTCAAAACTAGTCTCCAGATTTTTTCCTCAGTATTTTTGAAAATTCCCCCTGTAGAGGGACAGGCCCGACTTAACTCTAGCTGCCTGCATGCGGAAGAGCTCGAGAGCACACCCTTGTGCTTATCTAGGCCTACCACGTGGGGTCCGAGCAGATGGCGTCGAAGGAGCGCTCCGCATCGCCGATGCATCATCGGCGATGCGGCTCGACGTGGAGCCCGATTTTATCCACGTCGACGTCGATGATGCATCGCTAAAGCATCGCCGATGCATCGCCAGTGCATCGGCGATGCGGAGCGATCCTCTGACCCCATCTACTCGGGTCCCGTTTGAGATGCCTCTAGCTTCAGAATCGCAGGGCGCATCCCGTCGAGGCATCGGGAGCCCCTGGCCGCCATCCTGACCCGCTTTCACATGCGAGCCGTGCCGAGCTGTGGAGGCAAGGGTGACCGCGTCGTCGTCGTCGTCGTCGTCGTCGTGCTGAACATCGAGGGTCACCTTATCGGTCGGTGGATCATCGTCGGAGCGCTGGCCGTGAGCTGCGTCGTCTACGGCGCGGTCGGCGTTGCGGTGTACGCGACGTTTGGGCCCGCCACGGAGGACGACGACGGTACAAACGATGATGGCGGCCGTGATGATCGAACCTCGACCCTCGATCTTCGATCCTCGAAGCTCAATCCATGGCGGCGTCCATGACGACGGCGGCCATTGAGGCAGGGTCCATTTCGGTCCGATCGATCCGATTCGATATCGATTCCGGCTGGCTCGATCCGATTCGATCCCGATATTCCGACGAGCCCATGCAGGCCGATGTTTGTATAGCGCTGTTGTGCATCCTGTTGCGGCCAGTCCGATTCGGTTTCGACCCCCTGCCGCTGCAGCCCGACCCGACCCACATTTCGATTTTATCCGATTTTGCGATTCGATGCTGACTGATCCTTCCACCGAGGACGACCTCACCAAGAATTTCAGGAAGGACGACGGCCTGCTGGCTGCCGCCCCAGCTGGCCCAGCACTCTATTCTCGATCGGATCGTCGGCGAAGTCGACGACGATGTCGACGACGACGAGGACGATCACGCCGACAAGGGCGATGATGCTGCTGCTGATGACGATGACGACGATGATGATGATGATGATGATGATGATGATGATGATGATGATGATGATGCCGCTGCTGCTGATGATGATGAGGATGATGGCGACGACGATGATGGTGGTGGTGGTCATATGCGGTAGTGATCAGGAATATGAGTATGATGCTGCTGCTGCTGATGATGTTGATGATGCTGCTGATGATGATGACGACGATACCGATGATGGTGATGATGTGATGATGCTGATAGTGATACTGACGCCAACGGCGAAGATGCTACGGATGATGTGTGACTTGGTGATGGTGTTTTTTTGATGATGGTGGAAGTCATGATGACAGTCTGATGATGATTCCTGGCGATGATGCTGACGATGGTGATGATGATGAGGATGAGGACGATAATGAGGAGGGGGATACGATACTGATGACGATGACGCTGATGTTGCTGATGATGACGATGCTGCTGATGATGTTGATGATGATGATGATGATGATGATGATGATGATGATTATGATTATGTTGATGATGGTGATTATGATGGTGATGGTGATGGTGCTGCTGATCTGGACGTTGCCGACGACGAGCATGATAATGATATGGGTGATGATGAGACCGATGCTGCTGTGGACGATGCTGATGATAATGACCATTATGCTTACCCTTATTGTGCTGGCAGCGACAACGACGACGAGGATGACGATGTTGACGACGACGATGACGATTCTGCTGCTGTCGACGGCGTTGCCGCTGTTGATGATGACTGTGATGATGAGGATGATGATGATGATGCTGATGCTGATGATGCTGTTTTTGATGATGATGACGATGATGATGGTGATGATGAGGATGATGATGATATTGATTGATGATGATGCTGCTGATGATGCTGATGATGATGCTGATGATCATGATGCTGGTGATGATGATGATGATGATGATGATATTGATGATGATGCTGATGATGCTGATGATGATGCTGCTGATGATGATGATGATGGTGCTGATGCTGATGCTGATGCTGATGATGATGATGATGCTGATGATGATGATGATGATGATGATGATGATGATGATGACGAGATGGTGATGATGAGGAGGAGGAGGAGGAACAGTGGGAGGAGGTGGAGGAGGTGTAGCATGTGGAGAATCTGCAGCCGCATGCAGGCTCTATGCAGGCTCTACCTGGGCTGGTCTGAACGGCATTTAGCGATCCCCCAGCGGGCTCTCTTCTGCCGATTGTTCCTCCTCCTCCTTTTCCCCTTCTCTCCCTCTTCGCACAGACACTTCCCGTCACGCTGGTGCGCCCTCCCCCTTCTCCTCCTCTCCCAAGGGCGTTGCGATTAGGAGCTCGCGAACAGTTTGGTAGGTATTTTGAAGGTCGAACAGCCTCAATGTTCGAAACATTGTTCATTTTCTGCCAGCTGCAACGTTCGAAAGTTTGAAAGCTCGAGGTTTGCAAGCTTGAACGTAGTCGAATTCTATTACATTTGAGATGTCAAACTTGGCGGCTTTGGAATTGCTCAAGATTTCCAAATATTTCAGACTTCCCCAACGTTTCCCAGCATTTCAACTTCATGTGATGTCAGTTTCCCAACATGTCAATCTTTGAAAACTGGTTCGATCTTGAGAAACACAGTGATCAAGCATTCCGGTAAACGCCAAACGCTTGAAAGTTGAAAATGCTCGAGAGTCTGCCCGTTTGACAGTGTCTAAAAGTTTAAACCCAACTTCAGTTTTCGTTGTTCTCGGGACACTCACTCCTCGTCGCCAGGGTCGGACGTGGTGCCGTGTCTCGTCCTCGTTGAGCAAGGCACGCTTGGTTGACAAAACGGCGCTTTCAAGTGTTAGGTCGTCAGGTCCCCAGTGTTCTGAGGCAGGAAAAACGCTGGCACATGTCCACAAATAGTGTCTTGGAAGCTGGGAGGGGGCCAAGTGGAGGAAAAGGGCGCAGCCACAGGGGACCGCAGCTAGATCGGAGGTGAGGGGGGTGAGATCGAAGTGGAACGGAGAGCCCCCCTACCAGGAAATCGGTTTCGGTTTCGTGTTCGTGCGTGCCGTGAGTGCGGGCGAGGCGAAGCTGCGTGGGCGGGCGAGAGGAAAGTCTCCTGTGGCTGAGGCGCGACCGGACCAAATGATTCCCTTCCGGGCGGCCGGGGCCCCGCGGTGTCCCGCCGGTGTCCCGCTGGTGTCCCGTGTGGCTGAGGCGCGGCCGGACCAAATGATTCCCTTCCGGGCGGCCGGGGCCCCGCGGTGTCCCGCCGGTGTCCCGCCGGTGTCCCGTCGGTGTCCCGATGATGATTGATGATGATGATGATGATGATGATGATGATGATGATGATGGATGATGATGATGATGGATGATGATGATGATGATGATGATGATGATGATGATGATGATGATGATGATGATGATGATGATGATGATGATGATGATGATGATGATGATGCTGATGATGAGGTGTGATGATGGTGATGATACTGATGTGCTGCTGATGATGATGATATGGTGTCCCGATGATGATGATGATGATGATGATGATGATGATGATGATGATGATGATGATGATGATGATGATGATGATGATGATCATGATGATGATCCTGATGATGTTGATGTCGATGAGATGATGAGATTATGCTAAGATGATGATGATGATGGTGGTGTCCCGATGATGATGAGGCTGATGATGATGCTGTTGATGTTGATGGTGATGATGATGATGGTGTCCCGATGATGATGATGATGATGATGATGATGATGATGATGATGATGATGATGGTGATGGTGATGATGATGATGATGATGATGATGATGATGATGATGATGATGACGATGGTGGTGACCCGATGACGATGATGAGGATGATGATGAGGTGATGATGATGATTTTGATGATGGTGGCCCGATGATGGTGATGATGATGCTGGTGTTGATGATGGTGATGGTGTCCCGATGAGGATGGTGATGATGATGATGATGATGATGATGATGATGATGATGATGATGGTGACGATGATGATGGATTCCCGATGATGATGATGATGATGATGATGATGATGATGATGTTGCTGATGATGATGATGATGATGATGATGATGGTATCCCAATGATGATGATAATGTTGATGATGTTTTTCATGATGATGATAAGATGATGATGGTGGTGTCCCGATGATGATGATGATCTTGATGATGGTGTCCCGATGGTGATGATGTTGATGATGACGAGGGTGACGATGATGGTGTCCCGGTGATGATGATGGTGATGATGATGTTGATGATGATGTTGATGAGGTGATGATGATGATGACAGTGCCCCGATGATGATGATGATGATGATGATGATGATGATGATGATGATGATGATGATGATGATCATGATGATGATGCTGCTGATGAGGTTGGTGACGTTGATGACGGTGGTGTTGTTGATGATGACGTTGATTGTGAGATCATATCGATAGTGAGATCGATAGTGAAACCGAATGTGAGATCGATTGTGAGATCGATCGTTAAATCGATAGTGAGATTGTGAGATCGATTTCAGATCGATTGTGATATCCATCGAATGAAATAGATCGACTGAGATCGATTGTGAGATCGATCGAGTGAGAACGATCGAGCGAGACCGATAGTGATGTCGATAGTGAGATCTATAGTGAGACCGATCGAGTGAGACGTTGGTTCCTCCCCCCCGAACCTCCTTATCACCCGAAGGGTGGTCGTATAGGTATATTTGTTTCGGTATGTTTTGAGGCTACGCGGATGGAGCACCGGTTTCTTTTCAATACGTAGTTCTCGCTTTGGTGCCGCGCGCTTTTTCGAACCAAATCCAACAGTTACGCGCGGACGCGGTGGTTTTCAGAACGAGGCTCTCCCTGTGGCGCCGCGCGCGGTCGTCTTCAGCAGTTCCAGCAGTTACACGGGTGGAGATCAGGAGGGAAAGAAACACACAGACACAATCAATCGTCGATCCCCCAGAACATATGGGAAACTATGGGAGGTGGGGGGGAAGGCAAAAACCCAGAAGACACGGGAAGACATGGGGAATCCTGCTATTTGTGTCTATCTATTTGGTGTGTCCCAGGGCCCCTTCAGGAGAGGGTGGGCTGCAAAATATGGCCTCCGCACGGGGTCCGCCCGCGCGCACGCCCGCCTGACACAGCCTCAACCGTTGCGCGGGTGGAGGGCGGCTCGTCTCCACGGTGGGGCTCTCGCCTTGGCAACCTTCGGGGGCAACGATAGTCGGGAGCGGAAAAGAGGGGGGTGATGACTAGGGGGGGGTGGATTTCGTGGCGCGGGCCATGATTTTTCCTCAGATTTCATGGCGCCTCTTCTTCTTTTATTACGTCCCAGGCCCCCCCGCTGGGCCGCGCACATGCCGCCGGTCATGATCTGCACCCCCCCCCTCTCGGACACCCCCCTCTTGGCCGCTCCCGAGATAGGGGGGGATAGGCATAGGGGGGATGCATCGACCCCCAATCGCCCATTGATCGCCGATGGGGGCCCGATAGCCCCAGCCTGCCCAGGAAGGTGCGGACTCACGATCGGAGGCCTATCGCCGATCTATCGGTGATGTATCGCCGATTCCAGGTCGATGCATCCCCCCCTATCCCTATCCCCCCCTATCGTTGCCCCTCAAACCTGGATGTCTCGTTTGAGACTTTCTCTCGATTGCTCTGGATCGCTTCGGAAGTGGACAGCGGTTGCACGCATGAGGGACGCATCTCCTCTCCTGAAGGGCGCGGAGGATAATCAAGACGGAGCTACCGCTGAGCATTTCTCGGAACTGTATGACCCTACCTATTTGCATTTCTCCTGTCTAGAAGGATGGACGGTAGACGCTTTAGCAAACGATGTCCCGCGTGAGTAACAGGTTGACGGGGCGTTCTTCCGTAAAGGGGTGCGCCTCTCGCAGTGGAGAAGCATTCGTGTGGGGATTTTTCGAAGCGGACTTGGGACGGGAGGGTGTGTTGCAGGATGGGTGATACATTTTTTTCTTGTTCTTTTTCTCCTCGTGTCATCCTCGCCTCCTCGTCCCCCTCCTTCTCCTCCACCTCCTTGGCCCCCTCCTCCTCCACTCCTCCTCCTCCTCCTCCTCCTCCTCCTCCTCCTCCTCCTCCTCCTCCTCCTCCTCCTCCTCTCCCCGTCCTCCTTCCCCCCTCCTTCCCCCTCTTCTCCTTCTTCCCGCCCCCTACCCCCTCCCCTCTCCCCTCTCCCCCTCTTCCTCCCCTCCCTCTCCTTCCCCGCGGGTGCCCCCGCCCTTCGCGAGGTGCTGGTGCGGGCCACCATGGCCGTGGCGATCTGCGCCACCTTCCCGCTGGTGATGATGGCCGCGCGGTGCCCCGGGGGGGGTGCCCGAAACGCCGGCGCGTTCTCGGGGGCGGCAAAGAGGGGGGTGATGACTAGGGGGGGTGGATATCGTGGCGTGGGCCATGATATTTCCCCAGATTTCATGGCGCCTCTTCTTATTTCATTACGTCCCTGGCCCCCAACCTGGGCCGCGCACGTGCCGCCCGCCATGATTTGCGCCCCCCCCCCCTCTTTGACGCCCCCCTCTTTGCCGCCCCCGACGTTCGCTGCCGCCGCCCTCCCATTCGTTTCCTGCCCTCCCCGTCCACGTCCTCCTCTCCGCTCCGGCTGCTCGTTGCATTTCTTCCCTGCTCCCTCGTTGCATTTCTTCTACTCCTCCTCGTCCTCGTCCGCCTCCTCGTCCTCCTCCTGCTCGTCCTCCTCCTCCTCCACCTCCTCCTCCTCCTCCGTGCTCCGAGTCCGGGGCATTTTTTTGGGGGGCCCTCGCTGCGGCCCAGGGGGGCCCCACCGGGGCCCGGGAAGCGGCCCGATGTGGTGCCGAGAGGTCGGGTCGGGCGAAAGGGGGGGATTGGGAAAGGGGGGGTTACGAAATTTGCTGCATGCAGCTGGTTTCGGCCTCACCGAGGGGCCAATTCCTCGATACATGGCCGCTCCCGGCGCCTGGAGGCGCCGGGAAAATCAGCTACGTGAGCTGATTCTCAACCCCCCCCTTTGCTATCCCCCCCTTTCGCCCGACCCGAAGAGGGCCCGGGGCGGGCCCTGCTGGGGCAGATGAGTGAGCTCGAACAGAAATCTTGGCAGAGAAAGAAAAACGGTCAAGACAAGTTCAAACATCGTCAAAACAGCACGAGGAAGCATCCCTGGCTCCTCCTCCCCCTTCTCCTGTCGACTAGACGTAAGAGTGACCTTTCGCCGGAGTGACCTTTGGTGCGGGCACAGATGGGCCCCCAGGTGGCTGAAAACGGAGCAGGAGTAGCGGCTTGCGCGCCCAGGTTTGGTCCCCCCGCGGCCACCAAAAAGCCGCGCACCAAAGGTCAGTCTTACCCAGGGTCACTCTTGCGAGTAGCCGATCCTGCTCCTCCTGCTCCTCCTGCTCCTCCTCCTGCTCCTCCTCCTCCTCCGCGACGCTCCGCGGGAGCTCGAACAGAATGTCCTGAAGGGGCTTGTCTCGGAGCGCTTCCACAAAAGGTTGGCCCCGACACGGCCCAGGGAGCGGTCCGGCACGGTGCAGAGAAGGCCCCGGGAGGGGCCTTGGGCGGAAGCCTCAGCTCCGAACAAGTGTCCTCGGAGCGCGTTTCGAGGCGGGTCTGGGGCGATTCTTTTCCTGGCCCGGTCCGCGGCCCAAGAGAGGGCCGTGAGAGGGCCGAGTAATTGTCCCAGAGAGCAGGCCGATACGGCCTAACAGGAGCCCAGGGGGGCCCGGGAGCCGCGGCAGATGCTCGAAATGGGCGCGTTGGCGGGGCCGTTTCGTGGCGCGTCCGTGGCATTCTGTCTTGGCTCGAGCTTGTTGGCTTGCGTGTGCTGTCGCCAGCGCGCTCGCTTGCAGGGTACAAGGTCTCAGCAAGCATTGGATGACAAAGTTCTGTGCTTTCTTTTTGGAAAGGTGTTTCTTTCCCCGCGAGCGTTCGTCGCAAGAGGGAGGGCGCGCGCGGGCGCACTACTCAAGGAGCGCGCGTCAGCATGCAGGACACCGCCTACCATGCCATATGAACACCTTCGCGCGAGCACAGGCACCCGCGGTGGACGTGCGGGGGTGCGCTGCAGGTCCACCGCGCGGAAGTCTCGCAGCGCTGCGTGCGATGCGCAGCGCAGTGCACGCGAATTGCGCGCATGATTGAGCATTCCTCGACGCGGGAGGAAAATCTCGAAGTTAATCTCGAAATGAATTTCGACATGAATTTCGACATGCATTTGGGTTTCCGAAACTGTCGGGTGGGGTGGGCCTCGCCTCAGGATCCAGAGGGAATAGGGGTGCCGTGGCCGGGCGGAGGCGAGGTGGGCGGCGGGGTTGGTTCGGGGGCAGCATTTGTCGGATCTTGAGCCACAGAACAGGATCCACAAGTGCTGGGTGTCGTGGCCAGGTTGAGGCGACGCGGCGGGGTCGGTTCTGGACCGACAGTTGTCGGGTGGGAGGCTTCTAAACCACGATCCATCGGAGCGGGGGTGCCGTGGCCATGTGGAGGCGACGTGGGCGCCAGGGTCGGCTCCAGGCCGGGAATTTCCTGGGCGCGGCGGGGTAAGAACAGGATCCTGTGGGGTGGGGATGCCGTGGGCGAGGCAGGCGGCGGGGTCGGTTCCAGGCAGAAAATTGTTGGGTGGTAGGCCATAACAGGATCCAGAGAAGTGGGGGTGCCGTTGCCAGGAGGAGGCGAAGTGGGCAGCGGGATCTGCTCCGCGGACACAAATTCGTGTGGGGGTCCAAATAGTGAGGGTCCAGAGGGATGGGGGTGCCGTGGCGTGGTGGAAGCGAGGTGGGGGGCAGTCGGTTCAGGACAGGAGATTCCCGAGTGAGGGAGTCCAAAACAAAGCAAAGACAGGCGCACGTGAAAACGTATTGCATGGTTGAGAGGGGATATTTTACACGCCTCTGGGGTCGGCTTTTTTTCTGTTTTCGACGAGCTGGCAGGCACAGCTGTGCTGGTCCGTCAAGGCGTACGCCTCTTGCGGCGAAAGGGAAAGCTTGCACGGGCGTGTGAGGAGGAGGCTCCGGGCGGGAACGTGTATAGTATATGCAACTTGGGTTTCTGGTGGTCTTCATCCTCCTTCCCTCCTCCCTCCCCCCATTTTCCCTCTTCCCCCTCCTCCCAGTTGCTCCTCCCGCTCCCCGTGTGCGCCCCCCCCGTCCTGGTACGCCCTGGAGATATCCAGTGGCCCCCGGCGGTCCCTGACTGTCCGTGGCGCTCTGGATGTCTCCAGAGGCTCCTGGGAGCCTCATGAGGCCCAGCGAAACGCAAAAACATGAATCCTCGCATGCTGCCGCTGCTCCTCTCCCTCCTTGCTGTTGTCTGTCCTTGCCCCTCCCACCTTTTCGTCCCCCCTCCCTCCTCCGCCTGCTGCTCCTTCTCCTCCTTTCCTTCTCCTCCTCCTCCTCCTATTTCTCCTCCTCCTCCTCCTCCTTCTCCTACTCTCTTCCTCCTCGTCCTCCCCCCTCTCCTCCTCCTCCTCATCCTCCTCCTCCTGCTGCTGCTCCTCCTCCTCCTCCTCCTCCTCCTCCTCCTCCTTGTCGTCGTTGTCCTCCTCCGACTTGGCCTCCTGCTGCTCCTCCTGCTCCTCCTCCTCCTCCTCTTCCTCGTCCTCCTCTTCCTCCTCATCCTTGTCGTCCTCGTCGTCGTCGTCGTCGTCGTCGTCGTCGTCGTCGTCGTCGTCGTCGTCGTCGTCGTTGTCCTCCTCTCATAGTTGTCCTCCTGCTCCTCCTCCTCCTCCTCCTCCTCCTCGTCCTCCTCCTCCTCGACCTCGTCCTCGTTCTCCTCCTCCTCCGCCTCCGCCTCCGCCTCCTCCTCCTCCTCCTCCTCCTCCTCCTCCTCCTCCTCCTCCTCCTCCTCCTCCTCCTCCTCCCGTCCCTTCCCGTCTCCTTTTGCTCCCTCTGTTCCTCTCGCCCGCAGGAACGCGGCTTACGACCTGTTCCTGCGGCCGAG